AGTGCTGCTTGATGCCATCAGGGAGGGGGCTGCCCCCAGGCTCTGAGCGCTGGCGTTTGCTGGGGATTAATCCCAGGTAAACCAGGAGCTGCTGTCATGGCCTTCAGCGGGGATTACCCCAGCCTGGGCTTCTGTGCCAGCACAGAGCTGGAGCTGCTGGGCTTTCTCCGGGGAAAGAGGATTTTTCAGCAGGTCATGGCCCTTAGGGAAAGGGCTGGGTGGGATGAGGCAGCTCCCTTCCAGCCCGATGGCAATGAGGGGAGCTGTGCAGGGAATCGCAGGGGGACACCGAAGTGTCCCTGCGGTGGTAGATCATGGTCTTCCTCTCCTGAGAGAGGGACTGAGGTGAGCAGGGGGTTGTGGCCAGCAAAGCAAGCAGATCGCTGCCTGTGCTGCCTGCCCTCAGGACAAAATGGCAGCCCCGAGCCCGCCCTAGCCTACCATAACCCAGACGTGGAAGGAGATGCTGAGCGCCAGGTAGACCGCGGACAGCAGGATGGTCCCCTTGAACTTGTGGAAGAGGAGGTTGACCAGCCCAGCCTGGAAGACGAAGGTGTTGAAGAACATGAGGAAGACGATGATGACGTTGAAAAGAATAGCAATGTCCTGGATGCTGCAGGAGGAGAGAGATGTGGTGAGACCCCAGCCCTCCTGCCCCACCGTGCTACCTGCTGCGCCCGTCTGGCACTCACATGAAGAGGACGAGCTGGACAGCAGGGACTGTGCGGAGCAGCTCCGAGAAGGAGTTGACGAAGAGGTCGTAGAAAAGCAGGAGGAACTGCAGGAACAGCACCAGGCTGTAGTTGCTGGTCTGGAGCATCTTCCTTCCCCAGGGGTTGGAGCACTCAGCCCCGGCATTCCCAGCGGCAGAACCAGCTCATGGTCTGGAGCTGAGGGGCTCAGGGTCGCCTCTCTCTACAGCCAGGACCTGGAGGGGGAGCAAAGGTTTCGTTTGCCAGAGTGGGACGCACCCCCCTGCACCTCGCAAACCTCCTCTGCCAGGAAACCCAAAGCAGGGTCAAACCAACAGCAGCTCCTGCCGGTTTCTAGTACATCAATGCAGAGCCGTGCTCTGCCCCTGGGCTCTCACGAACAAGCTGTCTCCCCTCTCTTCTCACCATGCAGCCGGCTCAGGCTCGGTCTCTGTCTCCCACCCTCCAGCCTCACAGCCACCCCAATCTCAGGAAACAGATGTGAAGAAATGCAGGGACGAGGGAGACGTGCAAGTCCCGGGGAGCAGCATCCAGGCAGGTTAATCACGCCTCTCACGCTGGACAAACTGCCAACACATGGGCAGTGCTGAGCAGGCCACGCTACGGGGACAGGTTTGGGCAGGCCGTGTCCCAGCATTGCTCTCTTTTGCCCCACCCCAGGACCGTGCACCCTGCCTGGGGCAGCTGGTCAGAGAGGGGACAAGGACACAGTAAGGGGACAGGCGAGGAGGCACAGCCCTCCTGCCCG